AGGAAGGAAGGAAGGAAGGAAGGAAGAAAAGGAAGGAAGGAAGGAGGAAGGAAGGAAGGAAGGAAGGAGGAAGGAGGGAAGGAAGGAGGAAGGAAGGAAGGAAGGAGGAAGGAAGGAAGGAAGGAAGGAAGGAAGGAAGGAAGGAAGGAAGGACTGCTCCCTTCCCTCCACATCTGCCGCCAGCTACGCTTCATTTCTGGGATCCCCTCTGAGCAGACCTCACAGGCTTGTCTTTGACCCAGCTGCTTGCGCGCGGGAGGCTCTTCATGACCCGCGGGGACGGAAGGATGAAGGCCTGCCTGTGCACCAGGCGGGAAGGGGGCAACCGCCGTTTGAAGCAAACGAAAGAAACTGGCGGGAGATGCTGCCAGCTTCTTAAGTGGTGGCATATTCTTTATTAAGGAAGAATAGACTTTTACACGGCTCCCTTCCGACTTAAGGAGACTGACATGCCCAACAGTTTGATCTCATTCGAGGAAAGACTAACGTCTCAGCTTCTATGGGGACTCTGTGCTCCTAAAGGGCAGATATCCTGAGAGAATTGGTCCTTTGTTTAGAGTAGAGGCTCAGTGAGGTTAAGGATTTACCAAGGGAGGCTTTCATGAGTTCGGAGTAGTGAATTGCAGAAGAAAATCGTTCTACAGCAAAATGAGCAGTGTACAACTTGGCTCGGGCTGCCATAACAAAGTAAAACAGATTGGGGGGATGCAACAACAGAAATTTCTTTTCTCATAGTTCTGGAGATGAGAACTCCCAGGTCAGTGTGTCGGCAGGGCTGGCCTCTTCTGAGTCCTCCCACTGCCTTGTAGACGGCCATCTTCTTCCTCTGTCTTCTCATGGTCTTTCTTTTGGGTGTGCCCTGTCCTAACTTCCTCTTCTTGTAAGGACACCAGTCATATTGAATTAGGACCCACTTTCGTGGCCTCATTTTAACTGAATTGCCTCTTTAAAGACCCTCTCTCCTTCTGTCACTGGCTTATTTCACTTAGTAGGACATCCTCCAGGTTCATCCATACGAACCTGGATTTGGTTGTTGCATACGGTAGGATAGGCTTCTTTTTTAAAGGCTGAATCATATTCCATTGCACATTTATGGTGGAGGAGGTCATCAAGAGGACGTGACTGCCAGTTGACCCATGAGCTTGGCCTGAGCATCTCACAGCCCTCCCCTGTCCTTGGAATGTGGGTTCTGCTTGCCTTCCCTACTCTTCAGAGGTTTCCCCAAGGACATAACCTGGTGATAATAATGTGGTATTGAGACCATCTGGATGGTATATATGACTGAACCTAATTAAGCCTCTATATAAACTTGAAGGATTTGGCAGGCAGGTGTGGAAATCTACTCATCTTGTAGCCACACAAGACAAGCCTGTGTGTAAGTTCCTGTGCTTATTAAACTCTGCCACCTACCAGTCCAAAGTGGCCTGCCTCTTCCTTCCCTCTCTCCCACCCTTCACTATGGGTTGTGGTTGTGGGGGGGTAGTTTCACATTACACCACGGTAGTTCTCAAGGAGCTTGCAAATCAACAGCATATACCACATTTTCTTTATCCATTCATCCACCAATGGATACTTCAGTTGTTTCTGTATTTGGGCTATTATAAATAATGCTGCAATGAACATGAGAGTGCGGATATCTCCAGGAGATCCTGATGCCAATTCTTTTGGGTAAATACCCAAAAATGGGATTGCTGAATTATATGATAGTTCTATTTTTAATTTTGTTGAGGAACTCCCATACTATTTTCTGTAACAGCTGCATCAGTTTTACATTCCCACCAACACCATACAAGGGTTCCAGTTTCTCCACATCCTCACCAACACTTGCTATCTTTTGTTTTTTGGTTTTTTGGTAATAGCCCACCTAACAGGTGGGAGGTGATATCTCTTTATGATCCCATTATATAAAGTGTCTAAAATAGTCAAATTCATAGAAGCAGAGTAGAATGGTGGTTACCAAGAGGAAATGGGGAGTTGTTGCTCAATGGGTATCAACTTTCAGTCATGCAAAATGAGTAAGTTCTAGAGATCTGCTGTACAATACAGTGTCTGTAGTTAACAATACTGTAATATACACTGAAAAGTTTGTTAAGAGGGTGGACCCTCAAGACTATTATGTGAGAGTGTAATAAGCTTGTACATCATCGGTCCCTGTGTTTTGGAGACTGTTATTATGGCAGTCTTGCCGTCACCCTAACTAACAAAGACAGCAAAATATCTTCATGATCTCAGGATTAGTGTGTATTTTTAAACTCTTGTGAAAACTATGGAACTTAAAAATCAGAAAAATGGTATAATTAACCCTATGTAACCATCTGGTTTTAGACTTTACTAACTTTTCACCACATTTACTCCATCTATTTTTTTCCCGAGTTTTTTTTTTTAAGATTTTATTTATTTATTTATTTAAGAGAGAGAAAGAGAGAGCGGGAGGAGGGGCAGTAGGGAAGGGAGAGAGGATCTCAAGCAGACGCTGTGCTGAGCGCAGAGCCTGAATCCGGGCTCCATCTCACAACCCTGAGATCAGGACCTGAGCCAAAATCAAGTCAGACGCTTAACCAACTGAGCCACTCTGGCGCCCCTCCTAGGATTTTTAAGAGGCATGTTTCATCTTAAATAATCTGCTATGGTGTTTGGCATTGTACAACTATTGATTATCTTAAACTTTGATAAATGTGTGCTACATATGAACTTCTTTCATTGGTGACGAAATCAGAGAAGTGTGTGCTGTTTTTCCCTTATGAGGTAACAAAGGACAGAGAGAAGAACCATAGGAGTGGAATGTGAGGTGGATTGAGAGTTTAGTGGGACCAGGAAATCTGAGCAAGGAGCAAGCATAGCAATGGATGCAGCTTGGGGTTTGCAGAAATCTTGGGAAAGGCACTGAACTCTCCACAGTGTAGGATAGAAACTCAAGCCACTTCTGTTTAAACATTAAATATATAAGCAACTACATAGACTAGAGGACTCAGGGACACCAAGATGACAGCTAGCATGTGTTTAGCATATACACTGATGAAGAGATGGATGACAGAGTACACCTAGTACTGTACTTCTGAGCACCATACCAACTTTGGTATTTAAGCCCAGAAGGCCATCCCAGAACAAGAGAAAAGCAAAATAAACAGGGCACACCTGTACAACTCCTCTTAGTCTGCAGACCTGTAATCTAGAATTTTATCTGGTGCTCCTTCACCTGCGTCTGCACTGAAACTTCATTTGGCTTTGCCTTTGCAATTACTGACTCTCAGCTTCTGTCTCCACCTCTGCCACAGCCGGGAGGTGGGGAGCTGTCTAAGAGGTTGATCTTCCACCTGCTTGTGAAATGTTTACTTTGCCTTATTTGACCAATTTTTCTCCCAGTTGGGAGTAAATAAATCCACCATGAGCTCTCAGGACCAATCCTACCAGATCATGAATATTTTTATTTCTTGATCTTTACTGAACCCAAAGTGATGCAGCATGCTTCCTAATACAAAAAGTTGGGATGAAATATCCAAATGGAAGCACAAGGTGTCCAAGAGGCAGGTGGGGGCCAGGTAACAGGGGTGCTGGTTTTTTTTTTAAGATTTTATTTATTTGACACAGAGAGAGAAAGCACAAGTACGCAGAGAGGCAGGCAGAGAGAGAGGGAGAAGCAGGCTCTCCACTGAGCAGGGAGCCAGACGTGGGGCTTGATCCCAGGACCCTGGGATCATGACCCGAGCCGAAGGCAGCTGCTTAACTGACTGAGCCACCCAGGCGCCCCGGTGCTGGTTTTTAAGGGTGTGTTTTTTTCATGGTTTGCAGGCTTTCCTACTTGGGGCTTTAAGTCCATAATCGGATGTCTGTTGTGTCTGATTTTGAAATCTTAAACCCATTCCCTCCTACGAGAGAAACCCTAGTTTCTGAGCTAGCACTCCATCTGCACATGCATCTCAAGGTGGGGAGCCGAAGGCTGTGACGGGGTTTCCAATGTACCTGGCTAACCTGCCACAATTAAAATCAATGGGGAAAACTAGAAATTCAGGTGGTTATTGTGTTGTCACAATGTCCATGAATTGGATTGGGGGACTATATGAAAATAGAATATTTTGTTTGGCAGTAATTGATAGTGTCATTTGGCAGGAAATGTCTCAAATTCAGTTATTCAAATTCACTTCTATTTAAGCCAGTCTGTAGAGCCTGTGTAGAGGATCAGACTGTACAGACGGAATTCTTGGCAAAATCTCTGGAAACTTCCAGGATTATCTGGATTCTATAGGGGTCTTGTCTTTCACTGTCCTTGACTATTTTGTAAGTCTATAGAGACTGAAGTTAATTTGTAAAAGGCTGATGATGATGCAAATAATTCCCATTCTTAGAAATGCAAATGAATTTTGTCCAATGAGGATGCATCAATTTCTACTTAGCGGAAGAGGCCAGTTTTGCCTCTATCAGCAAATTCACTTCACTATTCCAGATTGCCTATAGATGTGTTTTCCCTTGGAATCTCCTTTGAACCAGTTTTTACTTCTCATTAATTTCTCATTAAATAATGAGTAAAATAAAATCTTTGACACAAATTCATTTTATATTTGTATGAGTCACATTTTTAAAAATTACATTTTAGTACCCTGATTCTCCAGCAACTTAGTTCATCCCCAAAAGTGGGTTGACAAGGAGTGAGGGGAGAACCCTGAATTTCTGACTGAACATTTACCCAGAGGTAACTAGTTGAATGAGCTACTTGGAAAAACGAGATAATGTTTACCCTTATTCCTGGACATACAGGTTCTAGATTTGGATTGATTTCAGAATAGAGTTATAAAAAGCATTTTATGTCTGCACAGCCAAATTTGAGGACTGTTGTGATTCTCCTTTTTTTTTAATCCTACCATTTTAACTTTTTCATTTATATAACAAAAAAATGGTAATAAAAGATGTGCTAGGCTTAAGAAATAGGATGGAAACTTGAACACCATTGGATATCGCTCTGTCTCTGCTTCAATTTCTCCCCCCCCCCCCCCCACACCCCCTACCTCTCTCTCCAGCACCGGTTCCCATGTTAATTTCATTCTCCCAGGCTGGCTTCTCACCAGTTGTGGTCCGGCTTCTAACATCTCAGCATCTCTTACTCATATCCTCTGTGGAAAAAAACAAGAGCACCATTAGCATAAGTCTTTTTTCAAAACTGTCTGCATGAGAAGGAGCATTCTAACTTGGGAAGAAGGGTGGAATTTTTTTATAGGTCTTCAGCAGGCAGGGTCAGCTGAAGTTCACAGCTAGTTTCAAGAATATTTGTTCAAAGATGGTACTCAGGGAAGGGAGGAGTTATTCTGATTAATTAGCAGCCATTGTTTGGAAAATTTGGATTTTACTAAGAGAAGTGGAAGGAACAGTGAGGGGCTGAGGTCATGTGCAAGAGGGTGTGCAATCTACAGTGACAAGGACAGGGAGGGCCACAGTAGAAACTTCATAGTTCTTCAGTATCTCTTACATCTTACAGTCCTCTGATCATAGAGACCCTTTTTCCCACATGCAGTTGGCTAAATCCTAGAAAAGGATTTTGATTGATCGTGCCTATCTCTGGACCACTCACTGTGCTCAGGGAGTCTAGTCAAGAATGAAGAGGCTGTTCCTAGGCAGATCCAAAGGCTAGAGCTGGGGAGGAACAGGTCTTAAAAGGAGGGAGTAGCCCAGACCTCGCCCATGGGGTCATCACAGTGAGTAGGACAGCATCCCCCCATCTTCATTTATGTTCACAAAAGCCTCCTTTTCTTCCTCCCACGTAAACAGCTCAATTTTGCCTTTAGGGGACACTGCTTAGGGGAGGACCACTCAGAGAACTTTTTGCCTGAGTATGGGGAGCAAACCCAGGGGAGATGAAAGCCTCTTCTGAGAGCAACCTAGTGCAAAAGGCTGGATACAGCCCTGATGCCCAGATTTCTTCTGAAAGCCTCAAAACTTTCTAAATGATCACCATGGTCACTTACAGAAAATAAACAAGTTTGTTTTGAATAAACATCCCAACGTTGGCAATGCTTCTTGCCTCTACATTCTTTTCTCTTTCCTCTTTCAGGTATCCAGTGCCCATGGCCCCTTTTTTCCTATTGTAGAGCCCAGGGCAGGCTGCCCCAAGATGGGCCATTGTGGCAAACAGATTATTTTGAGTTAAAAGTAATCAAAACCCACCAGATGCAGGAAAACTCTCTGCTTCCCCCTCAGCTGCCTAAATTTATATTGGAAAGGAGAGCCTGGACCAGGAAGAGAGCTATTAACAGAGATTCCCCTTTACCTAAAAAACTTATCTGCATAATAGAGCAACCTTGCTTTTCCAAACACTCCTTTCACCTTTCTTCCCTTTGTATCCTCAGACCCTACCCCTCTTTAGCTCATATAAACTCCATGTTGCCTCATTGTCTTTGGAATTTCATGTTTGAGTGGATTCCCCATACATATGTCTATTAAATTAGATTTTCTCCTGTTAATCTCTCTCATGTCAATTTGATTCTAAGTCCAGCTAGAAGGACCTTGTAGGTCAGAGGAAGATCTTCCTTCCTGACACTAAAAATAAGACAGATCTGCCCTATGAACATAGTTAAAATAATTAAGATTCAGGGGATGGAAATATCTGTCCTTACCATTTTTATTTTGCTAGAAGAACAAGTTGGTGACATATCATGGACTTCAAAGTCCAAATCCCCAGACTTCCCACTTACTTGCTCCATGACTGTGGGCAAATACTTAACTTCAATAAGTTCCAGTTTTCTCATTTGGGAAATAAGGAATAATGCCTACCTCAAGATTTAAAGGGATTATGCGTGGAAAGACTATATGGAATATATTAAAATCCAATTACTATCATTTTTTTGTGATGACGATGATGGTGATAATTATGAAGGCACTAAACCCTACTCACTATATGTTTTCACCCCACATTATTATTTTTAAAACAGAATTTCAGGATTCGAAGAGAATACACAGATGACCTCAGCGAGGGGTTAAGCCTCTCTAAAGAGATCTCAGTTGCTCCAGGGCTAGGAAGGTTTGTGTGTGGTGTGTGTGTGTGGTGTATGTATCCATGTATGTCTGTGTTTCTGAATCTGTGTATGTTGATGGGATGTGATGATTAAACGGAATGTGACATCAAGAAATTATCAACACTGACACTGATGACAGATACTGGCGAATTAGCAGTATAGAAAGGGGAAATGAAATTTGGCTTAGCTGTGAAAAAATAATACTAATTACAGTCATTAACATTAGCCCCTTCCATTTATGCCTAATTACCATGCTGCATAATCATAATCATGTGTGTCATTAAATATATGCCCAGTTAACTTTCATGTAAGTTGTCTTGATTAGAATCAACATCTCTGGTCCACTTAGACACCTGTTCAGAGATACACTGCTTAAAGTCACTGCTACTTCGGGGGCTAACAAGAGACTCAAACTAGAGAAAGTTTTCTCAGTCATATCCTAAAGAAGGAGGAGGCACAAACGATCTGAGGCTTTTTTCCTTCTTCTTCTACCAGGTCTTCAGAGTGCCCAGGGAGTTCATCTCACCACTGCGGAGGACAAACACACACACACACACACACACACAGAGCGAGAGATAGCAATAGAGAGATACAGAGATAAATAAAGACATGCAGATGAAGAAACAAGGAGACAGTGAGAAAGAGGTACAGGAGACTCAGAGAGGCAGAGACAGGTGGCAACAGAGAAGAAAGTAGACAGAGACAGAGAGATACAAAAAGTGGGGGTAAAGGCACAGACAGAGTTCAGCAAGGAGAAGGAATTCATATGCCTTCTCAGGGCTGGTTGATTTCCTCTGATAATTTATGAGACAAAATAGTCCCAGAAGTAGACCCAGACAATCAGAGTCCATTGTCCTGGATGGTGAGGAAACAGGAAGAGTGAGGTGAAAAGAAACGGAAGGTAGCGAGAAGAGAGATAGACAAAGCAACAGAAAAACTGAGAGATGGGGAAAGACAGACAGACATGGAGGGGTCAGGGAAAGGGAAGAAGGGTCCGAGGGGGTTCATGAGTCTGCTGGATGCTTGGTCAGTACCAGGCTGTGGAGACAGAGAAACGTGGGGGGATATATCCATGTCCTCTTTGTTGTGCTAAAATTTCCATGTCCTTGATGCACAGTGTGGATATGATTTGTTTACTGGGCATCTGCTATGTACCTGGAACCAGGCTAAGTGCTTTTACCTATATTGACTCACTGAATCCTCAAATGACACTAGCTGGCAGGTACTATCATGATACCCATGTTATAGAAAAGGAACCTGAGGCATGTAACTTGCCCAAAGTCACTCAGGTAGTAAGTGAGATTCAAATCCTGCCATCTCGCTGTAGATCCTGTGTTCTCAGGCATGACATAGCACCAGCAAAACCCAGTTATGTAATAAACAATTGTTAAGGGATCCATGATTTTAAAACATTCTTGCTTGGGGCGCCTGGCTGGTTCACTGAGTAGAGCATGCGACTCTTGATCTTGGGGTTGTGAGTTCGAGCCCCATATTGGGGATAGAGATTACTTAAAAATGAAATCTTTAAAAAAATACAAATAAATACGTTCTTGCTTAATTATAATTTCTTTTAAATTAACTTACTATGCAAGTTAATCAATGTTGCTAGAATATAACATTTTCATTTGCATGAAGACTTCATTTCCATGAAGACTTCCTTGTCAACTCAGCAAGAGGAGCAGGGGCAGAACTCTAGTGTTGTGGCTGACAGAGAAATAGAAGTCTCCAGGGGTCTTGTTACTTCATGATTTTCACACAGCGAGATGGGCAGATCCCAGCATCCTGCCTCCGTGGGTCCTACCTTCCACAGTGACTTTGGGTTCTGTTGCTCTTCCACTGGGAGACCTTGAAGGGACTGGAATTTGGTTTCTCAGGGACTCATTTCCCCTGTGGAAACTCATGCAAAATATCTTCATCAGCTTTCTGATCTGTTAATAAATAATGATAATCTGTAGAAGAATTCATTTGGTTATCATCCTTGGAGATTAATTGGGTAATTAATTTTAGCTAAGTGCGTATGAAATATAAAGTGCCTCATAAGTCTTCAGGATTTATGCTCCCGTGTTCTTATGAGGCCTGCAGGGCAGAGATTCTCTGCTTCGAAATGAGAAGCTGATTATGAATGCCCCCGATCAGGGCTGTTTCTCACTCGATTGCGCCAACCCCCTCCAAGAACTCATTGGGAAGGCAGACGATTGTCAGGGTCATTTTTACTTGCCAGACTGAAACTCTGAGCTCTGAGCTGCAAATCGAAAGGAACTGGAAAGAAAGAATTCAGCTTCCTGGTTACTCAATTGCCGGTCATCTTGTGCACAGTAGGGAGAATCTTTTCCGTAGGGGGCATCTTTTGTGGCGGTGGTGGTGGTTGTGAAAAGGGCTTCTCATGTCCATGGAACCCTTGCCAAACCAAGCTCCAGGGGATACTGGTGCGACTAGCCCATGCTTCCTTTCTGTAACTGCGGACTTTTGAACATATTGACAGCTAACACAAAGAAAGGGCAGAAGGTGACGATACTGGTTAGTGGTTAAAAGCATGAACTTTGGAGTCCTACAGGCTGCATTTGAATCTGGCATAACTGTGCCCCACCTACATGTTCACAGCTTCTACCATTAGCTGTGCAGAGAACTCCTCAGTTCAACTTATGTCACTGTAAAAACGACCATGTTAGAACCTTTAGAGAACTCAGTGATTGTGGTAGACTGAGCCAAAAAGATCTGTCCACATTCAGGGACGCCTGGGTGGCTCAGTCCGTTAAGCGTCTGCCTTCGGCTCAGGTCATGATCCCAGGGTCCTGGGACTGAGCCCTGGGTCGGGCTCCCTGCTCGGTGGGGAGCCTGCTTCTCCCTCTCCTTCTGCCCCTACCCTGCTTGTGCTCTCTCTCTCTCTCTCTCAAATAAATAAATAAAATCTTAAAAAAAAAAAAATCTGTCCACATTCTAATCCCCAAAACCTCTGAATATTACCTTGTATGGCAAAAAAATAGATGTGTTACCCTTTATGGCAAATGAGGGGATTACATTAAGGATTTTTCAAGAAGGTGCTTATCCAGGATTATCCACGTGGGCTCTAAATAATCCAGTGGCCAGTGTCTTTACACGAATGAGGCGGAAGCGGCGGCAATGTGACCGTGGAGGCAAAGACTGGAGTGCTGTGGCCACAAACTAGGGAAGCGCTGTGCCCCCCCAAGCTGGAAGGGGCAAGGGGCAGATCCCCCCCTGGAGCCATCAGGGGGAGCACAGCCCTACTGACTCCTTGACTTCAGACTTCTGACCTCCAGAACTGTGAGAGAATACACTTCTGTCCGTGGCACAACCGCCCAGTTGGACGTACTTTGTGACAAGCAGCTACAGCGAACTCCGCAACGGCTCATGGGACGAGGGGAGTCGAAACAGGGAAACCTGTCTGGCTTCATACCTGTTCCTGGTTTTGCAACAAAACAACAGTTCCTTAAATTCCACTGTTAAGCATTACGGTTGGTCTTAGAACTGCATTCACACAGCAGCATCTTTTCAAAATAAAAATAGAGCAGCCAAAATGTCAGCATTTACCTTGAAGCACTTAATTTATTACCTCTGAAATTTCCCCTCCCTTCATACTTGACACCGTTGTGAAAACATGTTTCCCTTTAGTGCCAAAAACTATACTATATTTAGTTTACTTTGCTCTGTGTTTATTCCCGCACCAGAACACGCACTCACACTCACACAGAGCTCACTCCCACTGACTGCAGGCTCCGACTGGCTACCGCACCACTAGACAGACAGGTCAGACTTCAGTGGGACACCCTTCCGTTGATACTGCGGGCATTAAACCGGTTTGGAAGAAATCCAAACCCATATTGTAGAAAATTCAATGTTATGGTACACCTCTATCAAAGTGCTTACATAAAAGCACACCTTTTTTAACTCAAGGTTTATTGAGATATAATTTACATAGAGTAAAACTTACCCTCTCTTTAGTCTACTGTTCTGAGTTCGAACAAATGCATAGAGTCTTACAACCACCACCGCGATCAAGATACAGAACAGTCCATCATCCCAAAAAGTTCTTTCACACCCCTTTGAGGTCAACTCTACTCCCTGGCCACCAGGGCTCTCACGACGGACACAGATAAGCAGAGCAGGGCCTGGCTCTGGTTACCACTCCCTAGGTGATTACATTCAGGATTTTTAAAAATCATTACATCAGTAAAACAGCAATAATATGGTGCTTCCTAGGCCATGGCCACACCAGCCTGACCGGTTCCTTGTCTTCTCCGAGCTCCCACCCACAAGGTTTACCCCTGTCGTCCCTTTTGGCTGGAATGCTCTTTTCTTCTGCACCTAGGCAACCCCTACTCATTCTTGAGATCTCAGCTTTGACATCTTTTGCTCGAAGAAGCCTTTCCCGAGTAGCTCCAATCCCTCTACATTGCATCGAGCACAGCAATTTTACATTTGTTTGTGTATTCTTTGATTAATATCTATCTTCCCCTTAAACTGTGAGCTTCATGAGGGCAGGGACCATGATCTTATGCTGAGCGTATAGTACGGTAGTAGGTATTCGATAAAGACTAAGTAAATGAATATATCCTTTGAAACCGGCAATGTTCTAGATGTTTGCTTTTCATTCTTTAAAGGGTTCAGCAAAATCAATATTGTTATTGCTGTTTTACTGATGTAATGATTTTTTTTCTGATGTGATGTTTTTTTTTTTAAAGATTTTATTTATTTATTTGACAGAGAGAGAGACAGTGAGAGAGGGAACACAAGAAGGGGGAGTGGGAGAGGGAGAAGCAGCCTTCTTGCCGAGCAGGGAGCCCGATGTGGGGCTTGATCCCAGGACCCTGGGATCATGACCTGAGCCGAAGGCAGATGCTTAACGACTGAGCCACCCAGGCGCCCCTGATGTGATGATCTTAAACCATAAATTCTTTGACATTCTGCCTCCAAAAGGTGGACTCTAATTCCCCTCCCACTGACTCAGCGACGCCCTTCTAATGAATAGAATGCGGCCCAAGGGGCACCTGGGTGGCTCAGATGGTTAAGCATCTGCCTTCGGCTCAGGTCATGATCCCAGGGTCCTGGGATCAAGCCCCACATCGGGCTCCTGGCTCAGCGGGGAGCCTGCTTCTCCCTTTCCCTCTGCCTCTCCCCCTGCTCATGCTCTCTGTCTCTCTCTGTGTCTCAAATGAATAAATAAAAATCTTTAAAAAAAAAAAAAAAAGAATGTGACCCAAGTGACAGTATCATAGAAGGCATTGCCCTTTCTCCTTGCTTCCCCTGGGGTCACTCAGTCAGGGGTGGGGAAGCCAGCTGCCATGTCATGCAGATACAGGAGCGGCCCTATGAAAAAGCCAGCATAGTGAGTTACTGAGGCCTTCTGCCCACAGCCATGTCGGTGAGGAAATTGGATCCTTCAGCCCGTGTCAAGCCTCCAGGATCGCAGTCCTGGCCAAGGTCTTCACTGGCCCCTCATGAAAGACTCTGAGCCAGAACAATCCAGCTAAGCCCCTCCCAGATTCCTACCCCAGGGAAACTGTGTGAGAGGACAGACGTTTGCTGTTTTGCACTGTGAAGTGGGAGGATCTCTTGTTACACAGTAGTAGCTGAAGGAACTGGTAAGGGAAATAAAGAACAGCAAGTGTGACTTGTTTAAGGTCACACAACCAGTCGATGGCAGGTGCAGGATCCCCACACAGGTCATGTGGCTCCCGAAGCGCACATTCTCTGTCCCACACCACGCTGCCTCCTAAAGATGCTTAGCATGGCAAATGCAAAATCATCTGGCTGCTAGTATAAAAATCTTTGCAGATTGGTTCATGTTACAGTTTCGGGAGGTGGCTTTCTGGATTCCCAAAGAAGCTGCTGATTGGAGGAGTTTCTAGGAGAATGGTAAGTAAAAAGGCAATTCTAATGAGGTTTTAGTGGACTGAACTATTTCAAGAATCTCTGCGAAGCCAATTTGTTGGAAGAGTAGATTGAGGCAAATTTGCTATAACTTGAAAGTAGCTTTTTTTCCTTTAGCTCATTATTATGGTATTGTAAACCAGTTTTCACACAGTGTGAATGCATTATCCTAGAATGCTCATTTTTTATATATTCATTATATTTGTGTGTTTAATATTATATAAATTATACATCTTTAATAGCGTAAATATTTATGTTTAATATATATATGAAGGAATTACTGAAATTCAGTATTTTGCTCAGATTGCCTAGTTACCATTCCAAAGGCTCAAACTTTGCAGTAGGCAAAGATTTCTTAAATAGGACACAAAAGCACAAATCTCAACATACAAGTTAATTAGCCATCGCAAGCTATTTATCTGCATGGTGCCCAGTGGTATTGCTGTTTATGCTGATTAGACTGAATATCTTCATCCCATCACTCTAGAATGACGGACTCATTTCCCTTTCTCCTTCTATTCCTTCCCTTTTCCCAAATTAATAAAAGATTCCTTTCATCTAATCACACCACTCACCTTTATTGTCTTTCTTTATTAAAGCATTGTCACTAGTTCCCTCCTCACAAGTATTGGACTCTTTTAGCTAATTTATGTTGAGGTCTCCTGGCACCAGGACGCAGGAACGTTGGTGGGCCATGGAAAGTTCTGCAAGTGTGAACCGGAGAGATGTCTCTCCATCTCTCGTCAGTGATCCCATCTTCATGTCTGCAGAGATTTAAGAATTGCTATTCAGTGGCAAAGAACACAGAACACTTTGGTTTTCCCCATAACTTTGCTTTTTAAGAATCTCAACTCACCCTGGAGCTGGAAAACAATCTAATAATGCCAAGTAACAGCACCTGGGTCTCCTTGGCTAAATTAAGCCCATTCCAGGGGTTGTCTTTAGAGCAGACTACTAAAATCTCAGCCCCCTGTCCAGTTCACAGCTCATCCCGGTGGGAGCTCAGCTGTCTGTGACATGGCACTTGGCCTCTCTTCTCCATTCTTCTCTTGGGGCCTGCTTCCCAGTTGGTGGGATGAGTGGAGTCTGGGGAAAGGGTTCAGGCATGTGAGCATGTGAGTGCTGGTACACTGGGGGTGACCATGGGGACACTGAGCAGGTCCAGTTGTTCCTTGCAGCTACTTTACCTACCACCGGCTATAAAAAGCTCATGGTGTCTGTGTCAGGAATGGGACTTTGGGGGACTGAATAAATAACTCCCCTTCCACTGGGAGGCAGATATGGGAGTTAGGCTGAGGGAGACAGGAACACCGAGGCACCTCCTGATAATGCTTATCCTGGCCTGCAGGGTTTATGGAGCTAAAAAGAGCAGGCAGGTCAATGCTCCATCTCTGCAGCAGACAGATGGACCCAGTCATGGTTCCCAACACTGTCAGTTCTTCTTACGGGCCTGCAGGGGTAAAGCTGACCATGCTTCCTTTCTCATAACCAAGAGAGAGAAAGACAGTGCTGAGCAAACACATATAGTTCCTCCACCTCAACTCACCCATCAGGCAAGTCCCTCTGCCTCCTGGGATGGGCGGGCAGTGGATGAAACCAGAGGCTGAGAGAAGTCTCAACCAAATAGGTCAAAACCAATCAGAATGCACATGTATGAAAATGCATGCACATTTTTATTTAATTTTATAAGCAGCATAGTGAAAGATATGGAAGGATACCTAGTAGGGGGCTCACAGGATTGCCCAGTTTGGGGGGTGATAGGTGGGATACAATGTGAAAGGAGGAGGGGAAGAGAGTATAGAGATAAGCCAAACAGGAAAAAAAAATCACCAAAAACCAGTATGTATGGTGTGATCACTATATATATATATATATATATATATATATACACACACACATATATATATATATATATATGGCATTAAGAAGTGATATTCAAACTACTTCAGCCTGTATAGCATGGTTAATACTCCTCCAGTTAAAGTAGATACCAAAGAACTGGGGCAGGATCCCTGAAAATTCCCTCACTGAACCAGGCATTATCTGGAGTGGAGGGTGGCCCAAGGGGTTCTGGAAGAGAGACTGGGAGGCCAGGGTGATAGGATGGGGTTTTGGCAGGGAGGGTGGTAGCACTTGAGAGGGAGGCTCAAGACAGTAGCTACTTACTAAACCAATTCAGAAGCACATCAATGTTTTGACAACATGCCCAGCTCTATCAGTGCATTCTACTTGAATATTTGTTGACTTACTCATAAGTTAAAATCAAAATTCTTAAAACATAATAGGAAAATTTTCTTCCTATGCTATGTTATCTAATTCAACTGGGACTAAGCAAAGCTCATATGAAGAAAACCTCAATTCTGGGGGCTGGAGGATCCACTTCAAAGCCTCACTCAAATGACTGGAAAGTTGAGGCTTGGCTGTTGGCTGGAAACTTCATCAGGGCTGTGGATTAGGGCCTTGGTTCTTCTCCATCTGGGCCTCTCCTTAAGCTGCTTGAGCTTCCTTACAGCATGGTGGTTGGGTTCCAAGAGAACCAGGAGGTGGCCTTTTATAATCGAAGAAGTCACACAATGTCCCTTCGTTATAGTCTATT